CAGTGCCAATTTGTGTTTTGTTATCTGTGTCTCAGTATATCAGGTTTGGTGTTCTGGACAGATTTGTTTTCTCTGTTTAGCTGCATGTGCCTCTAATATGTCATTAAATACCACTCATTAATGGTTAATTATCAGCAGTACACATGAGATAGTGTTCTCAACAGATTGCAATCCTTATAATAGGCACATTTACACAAATCTGTAATATGCAGATTTAGTATTTAGTGTTTAATATTGTCCTGTTATGTGCAGCATTTTAATTTTCTGTAAATCTTTCTGTACATTATTTTGACATAAGTTAAACCTAGTGTAATTTTAAAACTGAAGCTATATTTATTCCCTTGCAAATGAAGTTACTAGTTCCACTTCCAGATGTGCTGTTTCTCTATATCTATGTTTCTTTAGGGCAGAGGGTTCAAGGATTTTCTGCAAATCCTAAATGCAGTTTAGGGATTTTACTGAAGCAACCAAGGCTTGCTCATTTTTACAGTTCTCAGGTTTGATTTGGAAAATTAACCTTATTCATTTTTTAATTTTATTTTTGGCAAAAGGACTAGGTTGTGACTGAGGCAGATAAGTTAGTTGCCAGGCATCTGGCTCAAATTACATGCCTGGATTTTATACTATGAATTAGATGAAAAATAAGTGATAAATCAATGTTGATTCTTTACATCCCTTAGCCTTGGCACTGTGAGCTCCAGTACAATAGCATTGCAGGGTCATTTGGCTCCTTCCCATTGAGTGGGATTGAGTTTCTGATGTTTTGCTGTGCTTGAAATTGTAACAGTTGCTCAAGCAACAGTGCCAGAATTCAATAAATAGTCCCAACTAAGAGTACAGTTGGAATATTTTCTGTTTGATATGTGTTGTTGGCGAGAAGTTGCATAACAGCAGCTGTAATCAGTGGGGTAATGGTGCTCTTTCACTGCACTACAAGAAGCATTCCTTTCCTATTATTATTTTTTATTAATACTATTACTTTTTATTAATGCTATTAATACTTATTCACTGGTCGATAATAACTTGCATTTATACAGCCGCTCCCACATCAAGTGAACATCTTGAAGCGCTCACAAAATGTATCCGATTAGAAATGAAAGTGAATGTCAGATCAGGAAACTCTGCAGCCCATCTGTGCCACCAGCATTCCATCCCAAGTCACAGTGTACAGTTATTTGGCTTGTCTCTTCCTCCTGTCTTGAATAGTGGCATCATATTCACCACCTTCCAATCTTCTAGAATAATCCCCGAATCCCGTGAATTTTGGAAAATTATAATTAAAGCACCCACAATTTCTTGACTTGCTTTTATTACCCTGGGAAGGAAACCATTCGGTCCTGGAGATTTCTCTGACTTCAGTCCCACTAATTTATCCATTACAATGCGGTATTAACATTAATGTCTTTCAATTTCTTCCCTTTACTAACCTTTAGTTTTCCTTGTACCTTTGGTATCAAATCCTTTTCCACTATGAAGACAAAAGCAAAATATTAATTTCAGAATTCCTCCATGTCCTTATCCTCTAACTCTTGTCACACCCATCTGTTTTTTAATAAAAAGGTTAAACAGTGATCTGATTGAGATGTTTAAAATAATGTAGAGAATTTGCGAGCTATATTGTGAACAACTAACTCTTCCTTTGGTAGTGGTATCCAAAACAAGTGGATATAATCTAAATATTAATGATTAGAAGAGAAATTAGAAAACATTACTTCACATGTGAGAATGTGGAGTGCATGGCAAATGGGATTAAAAATTTGCAGAACAAGCTCAACGGGTTGAGTGGTCTCCACCTGTTCCGATGTTCCCGCTAATCTCTGCTCCTTTTATTTAGTTCAAATGTAATGGTCTTCCTTGCTGTATCTGCAGATACTTTATATTACCAAGAGGTATGCAACTCACGATGTGTCTGTATTAGGATTTAAAGCTGTCTGTGACCGTAAAGTTAAAAGTATGTCCTGCATTTATTCTATTTCCTTTTCTGTTGCTGATAAAAGACTTTGTTTTTGTTAAAAAAAACATGTTGTATATGTTATAGACACAACAGTATAGCTTTTAACAGTATTTGTAAATCTAATATGCATTCCACATTCCATAAAGAGCCAGCATCTGGTCTAATATGAGTTCCCACTAATCTTTTTATCTCAATAAATACCAGCTTGCCCTGTCTTGCTGAGAAAGTTGTAATGAATTTCATATTCAGATACTGCAAGGAAGTTTATCTAAGTGTCTGTTTATTTCAAAAATGTCTATAACAGTGTTTCCTTGGTAACTGACCTTCTACCTACAAAAAGTCCATCAAATGGTTCTGCTCAAACTAGCAATGATGTTTTATAGTTTCAGTGATGTTGAATGGATCCAGTGTTTATTCCTTGGACCCCTCTGACAATTTGAAGGCAGGGAGTGAAGGAGCAAGGCAAAGGCATTTGGGAGCGAGTGTTCCAAAGAACTGCGGTATAGTGACTGAAGACTAGGCCATCGGGATGCAGGACATAAGCAGTCAGCAGTCGAACTACCAGCAGTGGGTGTTGGGACATTGCAGCTCAAGATGATGGTGATACCAGCCGAGGTGGGGGTGGTGTTGCAGGCATTGGGGATGGTTCAGCTCAGGGTGGGGTAGTGCAGAGCAGATTTATTACAGCCTGCAACTGACACCTAAGTGGGAGGTCGCTAAGAGCAAGTGTTTTGCCTCAAGATCATACTTCATACATAAAACCGCTTATTTCTATTAATCACAGCTTGGGCTGAGTAGTTTCTTTGTGTTTATAAATCTGTAAATGAATGTTCGGTATTTTCATCCCCGTGAAATGTCCACAGGTTTGGCCACCGGCGCGATGTGTAATCGTGCACGGAGGGATTGCAACTTACTGCCGTGTGCCCTAGGAATGTGGCTTCAAAGTGTTCATGTGAAGAGATTAGCAGAGAATTATCTAATTATGTTAAAGTAACAAACTGATAGGGAGGATGTATTTCGTAAATTTGCTCCTGAGGAAAATGCTACCTCTCTGCCTGTAAACTAATGGTCAACAGGTTTCATAGTTTGAAAGCACATCTAAGTTTAATTGCAAGACTTGAGACTATAAATTCCTTCCTACTCTGGCAGTCGTCCCATAAGGAACAATCACTAGCTGGAATGGTGCAAAGAGTTGAAAGAGACCATGTACAGCCCAATCATGACGGAGTTCAGTTTCAGAGGTGACCTTAAAAATGTTGTGGTTTTGCCCCACCCTCAGAAGTATATTTGTGAAGAAAATCTGTTCTTATCTAAAATACCTCCAGATTACTTAACAAATGAAGTGCAGCAATCAAATGGGTATGGAGATTTTACACTGGGGTTTGTATGCTGTGAAATTTCCCGTCACTAAATCAGTCTTGTGGTTTTAGTGGTTTCTTTCACCAAATAAATTACAATTTATTTCCAGCTGATAATAAATAAAGCTATTTCCAAACAATACTAGCCAAACAATTGGCTAGTATTGAATAGTAGATTCTAGTATTCTATGCCTTAATAACCTTACCTTCATGATTTGCATCTTGGCTTATATTATCGAATGCCACCAGTAACCACTTGCGTATTAAGGGGACAATCAAAATTAGCTTCTGTTGAGCACATAAAACATGCTACTTGGATTGGACTATAGAAAACCAGGAACCATGTAGTTTATTCCTTATGAGGCAAAACTAATAATCTCTCAGGAACATTTTCCAATTGGAATAATTCTGCAGAAATAAATTAGTTTAAAAAAAGCATTCAGTAAAAGATGCAAATGAATAAAATGAATTACACAAGATTTATGAATTGTTCAGAACACAGATTCAGAATCTTACAGTTCACAAGATCACAAGATTAGTTTGGATGAAAAAGGCACTGATCTCAACTCTCCCGAATACCCGCCTTTTCAATGTCCTGGCCTCGACCACTCTTCCTGGCAACCTATCCCAGATAATTATTATTATAGTACTACACTCTGCCAGTCCTTCTTTCTTGCTACAGTTCTCTCAGCCTCTGCCATTGTTCCCTATTCAGCTCTTTCTCACTCTGAGTATCTCTCTTTTTGAGTCTTTCTCTAACCCTACACTGTACAAAAGTATATAAACACTTTTGCGTTGTAGCAAAAAAATATGGTTTGTGTGCATGTATGGAGCAGCATGCTGCCACTTCTTCCTTTAATATCATTTACTTTAATTTTTTCAATAAGCCTTACCAAATGCCTTTTGAAAATCAGTGTACACAATATCCACTGGATTCCTTCTAACAATACTCTCAGCTATTTCTTCAAAGAAGCCCATTAAATATTGTCAGGCACATTATGCCTTTTAAAATTCCATGCTGGCTGTTGTTAATTAATCAACGCCTCTCTTAATATATTATTCATTTTATCCCATATTATGGCTTCTAAATGTTTACCACTGCAGATGTTAGGCAGATTGATCTGCAGTTACTTGTTTTATCCCTTTATTCTTGAACAGAGGTTTATACTTGGCAACCCTGTGATCACCCAGCACTCTTCATATCCAAGGATATTTGAAAGATTGCGGTCAGAGCTGTTTTCTCCCTGCGCTGTATACAATTGTAATTTTTTGTTCTTACATTCCATTCTATACCATTTCTGGAAAACAGACAAGGTACTCATATTGTATCTCCGCCAGTTCTTCATCCTCCACAATTGGTCCTTTCCTTTCTGTAAGTATTCTTTTGGTTTTTATGTGTTTGATTACAGGTTAATCCATCTGTAAGCAATGCATAAAACCTGAAACATTAAACACAAAGCCAGTCACTCCCACTATTCAGAATTTCTAATCTAAGAAGAAAGCTTCCTGTTTTTCTGGTCCTTTGTAACTCTGCACATTGAGGCAGTCACTCCAGTGTGCATTTCACGCTGATGCAGCAAAGCCTAAAATTTCACAGAGTTGTGCAAAATTCTTAAATAAATTCTTTGCAGTTTTCTTTTTTAAAAAGTCTAGAAAAGCATTGAATATATTGTGTGGCTTCTTCACAGGTCTCCTGATTCATTGCTGCCCAGTGCTGTACAAGGGCTCTCCTTCACAGACTCACACCTGACAGAGCTGGAAGGGGACACTCTGTGCTTGTACGGCTCGGGTGCTCTCGATTCCCTGGATCGGAGCTGGGGGGTGCAGATGGCCGGAGCTGTCACCACAATCTCCTTTACGTTTATAGACTTTGATGAGATTGTCCCAGTGCTATTCCGATTGAGGATTAAATTTCCAAATATTATGGTAAGAAAGTCATAATGTTTCATCAATGTATTAATTTTAGGAGAACTGATGCTCGCTCTTTTGTTCGTTCAGACACATACATACGCACACACTCTCACACATAGTCTGTACTTGGTGTATCACATACACCAGGCACATATTTAAGATTCCTACCAGGAGCATGAAAAGGGAAGGTAGAAAGATTTCTTTTCTCCCAGAGGATTATTAGGTATCTACGGGGTATTTAAAAAGGAATTAGATAAGCAGATGCAGAGGAAGGTTACTATAGGATACAGGGAAAGAGTAGAAAATTGGGATTATGTTTCCCGCTGGTTATTTTCATATCCTCTTATACAGTGTCTGTTTTTGTTTCTGCTCTGTATTTCTAATACTATATCCAATTTTCTACTGTATTCTGGGATTTGTAATGATGTTTAAGCTCTTTTTAAGCTATATTGTTGATCTAATGCGCTCGCTAATCCATAGCACTCTCGTTATGGACCAACCCCTTCTATTGTAATAGGTGGGTATCTTGTTCAACATCTTTGTTTTGGGTGCATACACAAAGGGCAAAAACAGCAGGTGTTTTTTAAACTGCTGAAAGATGCTTTCTGTCAGGAGTGAGAATCAGCAGGTGAGTTTACAGCAGAACTTTGTGTCAGAAATAAAAATGAATGGTGAAAGCTGACTGGCATTTGAAGCATTCAGTCCTGTGTTTCTGAAGAACACGCATGTCTGGGAGTGTGCTGAAGCCTGTCTCTTCCCTCATGGCATTTGATGACTGTGAACTTTGCATCTCACTGCCTGTTATTCTGGTAGGATTTTGTGGGATCGCTAGAATGTTGGTGGTTTTTCGGAGAGCAATTATTGGTTAGAATTACCCCCCTTGGTGTCCTATTGTCTGTCTGCTAATCTCCCATCCTGTTTCCATCACAAACTCAGCTGCTAGGAAGCATATGTCAGACCATGTACATGAAACCAACTCTGGCAGCTTCTGTCGGCCCTGCTCTGAGGTTAAGGTATAACTGCTGCTCGATAATGCATCAATTAGATTGAAATCAGTGTTGTTCCCCCCACCACTCCCTCCGGGCCATCAGGGAGTTAAATGTCCTACATTATATAGATTATTTAGCACAGTTTTTTTACAAAAAAAATTAATTAATTGGGAATTTTGAATTTTGTCATCTTTTACCTGATTCTGTATTTTGCGCATTTCTTGTATTCACAGCATTTTAAGTTCCAACATACGAACATTCAGAAACTGCAGCAGTTCAATGCATTGGCTCAGTTGCGCCGCCTGGACATGCTCACTATCAATCCTCAGGGCAATCCCGTTGTGAACTTCAGCCTGTGGAAGTATTACGTTCTCTTTAGGCTAAACCACTTTGGTCTACAAAAAATAAATGACATTGAGGTAAGCAAGTGAATTAATTCTATGTGAAAGAATAGAATTATTTTTCTTTCCTGTAGGTGCTGTGCCAACCATGGTTCTTAGTGCTTCGGATATTGAATTTATTTGGCAATGTACCAGATGAGACGTTCTGTGATGCAATACAAAATTACATTTATAAAGCGCCTTTCACGTCGGGAGAATATCCCGAGGCACTGAACAGTCGGAAGGAGGGGGGGGAGGTGTTGGGATCAGGGAGGGTTGAGGGCAGAGAGGGAAGATGCCTTGAAGGAGGCAAGGGAGAAAGCGAGGCGAAGGGAATGTGGGATGGAGTTCCAGAGGGTGGGGGCTGAGAGCCTGAAGGCTTGACTGCTGATGGTGAGGCGGGCCGGGCGGGGGACATGGAGCAGGCTGGAGCCTGCTGAATGGAGTGAGCAAACAGGTTGATAAGGAGTTAGCAGGTCGCAGAGGTAGGAGGGCCTTGAAGATGAGGACGAGGGTTTTGAACTCGATCCTCTGAGGAATGGGGAGCCGCTGGAGCAGGGCGAGGGTGGGTGTGATGAGGTCGCAGAGCCTGGTGTGGGAGAGGACACGAGCTGCAGAGTTCTGAATGATCTGCAGCTTGTGGAGGGAAGAGTTGGGGAGGCTGACAAGCAGGGAGTTGGCATACTTGAGCCTAGATGTAATGAAGGTATGTATGAGGTATGAGGGTTTCAGAAGCCTGAGGAGTGAGGATGTAGCGGAGTCAGGCGGTGGTGGGGGAAGGCAGAGATGTGGGAGAGAAAGGACAGTTGAGGGTCGAGCAAGGTTCCTGACTGGCTCGGTGAGGCGGAGTGTGCATCCGTGGATGCTGATTCTGCCAGTGCCTGAGTTGTGAGGTGCTGGCGCAAGCTAATCAGGAGCGCCTCAGTCTTGCTGACGTACAACTGTAGAAAGTTGGCTCTCAACCAGGACTTGATGTCTGACAGACACATCAGTGGTCCTGGATTCGAGGCAGAGAGATAGAGTTGGCTGTCATCCGCATACATGTGGAAGTTGATCCCATGTCTGCAGATGATGTCACCAAGACGGAGCATGCACGGGTTGAAGAGGAGAGGAGGGAGGACAGAGCCGTGAGGAACACCACACGCGATGGTGTGGGGGCTGGACGAGATGCCGTTTGTAGAGACAAAGTGGAGCCGGTGTGAGAGATAGGATCTGAACCATTCAAGGACAGAACCTTGAAGTGAGAAGAGAGGCAATGGAGAAGGATAGAGTGGGCCACAGTGTCGAAGGCAGCAGAGAGGACGAGAAGACAGAGGGAGTCCTGGTCAGAGATGGACAGAATGTCATTTGTCGATTTCAAGATCCTCATCCTCACCTACAAGGCCATTCATGGCCTCGCTTCCTCCTACCTCTCTGACCTACTATCCCCCTACCTACCTGCCCATACCCTCCGTTCCTCTGGCTCCAGTCTGCTCCACATCCGCCGCCCCAACCGCCCTACCATCGGTGGCCGGGCCTTCAGCCTCTCAGCACCGAGCCTTGGAACTCTATCCCCCAGTGCCTTCGCCGCCTCCTCCCTTTCCTCCTTCAAGGCCAGTCTCAAGACCTTTCTCTTTGACCGTGCCTTCAGCTCCCCTCTCGACTCTCTACCCCCTCCTCGCTCCCTCCCTTCCCTCACCCTGACCATTTCCCCCCTCCTCGCTCCCTCCCTTCCCTCCACTCACCCTGATCATTTCCCCCCACTCGGGTCCTGACCCAACTGTACAGCGCCTTGGAACGTCCTCCCGATGTGAAAGGCGCTTTATAAATGGAATCTTGTTGTTGTTGTCGTCGCCTTGAACAGGGCTGTTTTCATGCTGTGGGCAACATGAGACAAATACAAGTACAGAACACTGCACAATGTCCTCTCAGAAACTACACACTCCTGCAGGAACTTAAACTGTTTTAGGAACAAATCTTAAAGGCTCCAGTTGCAACACCTTCATTAGTTATTGTTGTATTTAGGATGTAATGAAATATTGTGTCTTTTCTACCTCTGAATACAACTTACAATCCTGTAGAACTTTTGGGTCCAATGTTCAGGTTTTTATTGATAGAATAACTTTTTTTAAAAAAAGGTAATGTTCTTGATTTCTGTCTCAATGTCAGGCGTGGCCTGATTGTCTGAATTCCAGTGCTGGGAGTTTCAACAACAACAACAACAAGATCCCATTTATAAAGCGCCTTTCACATCAGGAGGACGTCCCAAGGCGCTGCACAGTTGGGTCAGGACCCGAGCAGGGGGGAAATGGTCAGGGTGAGGGGAGGGAAGGGAGGGAGCGAGGAGGGGGGAAATGGTCAGGGTGAGGGGAGGGAAGGGAGGAAGCGAGGAGGGGGAAGAGAGTCGAGAGGGGAGCTGAAGGCACGGTCAAAGAGAAAGGTTTTGAGACCGGCCTTGAAGGAGGAGAGGGAGGAGGCGGCGAAGGCACTGGGGGATGGAGTTCCAGAGCCTGGGGGCTGAGAGGCTGAAGGCCCGACCACCGATGGTAGGACGATTGGGGCGGGGGACGTGGAGCAGACCGGAGCCGGAGGAACGGAGGGTACGGGCAGGTAGGTAGGGGGATAGTAGGTGCCAGGGATTTAATGGGATCCATCTGGTCTTCGGGTAACATTTTACTTTTGCATTTTTTGCATTGGTCACCTTCTTTTCCAGTGGCCCAATTGGTTCAATCCGACTCGTGTAATTAGTTGATGTAAATTTGTTATCCAATGAAACTCACTCAGTCCATTTGCTCAGTGAAAATTGTCTTTATGCCCTGACTAGGTATCTCCTCTGGATTTGATAATGAGTGAACGAATCTTTGGAATCCTGGGCCACATGGCTGCCTGCGAGATCCCCCAGACACGCCTGCTGTCCCTGGTGGGAGAGATGAAGTAAGAGATTGACGTGTAACCGTGCCTTTCATAAGACATGACCGATTAAAAATGACGAGTTGTAATATTATCGTTACAGTAAAAAAACACAGATTCAGACATTTTAAAGCACCCAACTTTAACTCTGCTTGGTGCCAGAGATTCAATGCTGGAGGATTTACTGTCAGGGATTTAGAACTGGGATTTATCCTTTGGGAATTTATGCCAAGATTTACAGTCAGGGATTCGGTCCCAGAGGATTCAGTGCACATGAGGTAAAAGTTAGTGCAATGCAATTCATCTCAGTGCCTTTTTGAGTTTTACGAAGGGGGAAGGGGGTGAGGGAATCACCTTGGGTTACATCTAACAAGTATCAGAGAAGGTGGCATCTGGGTATATGTGTAACTAATTATGCATTTACATTCTTCGGGTTTCATGGATCCAACCATCACGTTATAATCAAGCTCCATTGTAATCTCTTAAAATGCCAATTTATGAAATTCTTTCTGAATGTCCGAATAAATCATATCCATTGATCCTCTTCTGTCACCTATAATTCGGTCAAAGAAATCTTATTATGTTTGTGGGACATGATCTACCCTTAACAAAACCATGCTGACTGTGAGATTAGTACTCTTGAGGTCCTGCTATTTAAATTAAATAATCAAAGTTGTTATGTGAGATATCCACACTCTGTACGTGCATATGTATGTGACCCCAATGTGGACTATGACTCCTGGCTTGAAGGTTTTCCACCAGCTCCATAAAAGCCTGTAACCTAGCGCCTGAGGAACAACAGGACTCACGATCCCTGCTGCGAAAAGCAGACTCTCTATCTTCTACTCATTAAATCTACTGCTAATGTTTTCCTATTTTCTGATTTCCTTTCCTCCCCATTTAATAAAAAGGCTGACCAAGGAAAGACTATCAAATACTTTTTTGTCCTTTAAAGGAGGAAACAGCTACAGTTCCTAATGGAGGCAAAAGGGAGGAAAGCTGGTACCAGCCTCGAGGAGAGTAAGGACAACGGGAAGCTTGGAGGCGAGTCTATGGGCCGAGCTGTGCTGAATTACACTATCAGGGACAGTGGAACTGAACATGAACAGGTAAGGAGCTATGTCTGGTGTTATGAGCTGTTAGAAGGCCACTGTTGAACTCTAGCCGTGTAATAAATGTTTTCATTCATTTGTTCAAATTTATTTGCTCACTGCTGATATTCCATGTCTAACCAGTGTCCGAGCAAACGTGACACTTATAATGTAACATTACAATAAATGTTCTTTCCCCAAATTCCATACTTTGTTTATAGAGATGAAAAGCACTGGAAATCTGAACTAAAAGCAGGCAATGCTGTACATACACAGCGAGTCTATCAGCATCTAAAAGCGAAAGATGGATGAATGTGCTAGGCCAGACCGTCCGGACGTTTCCTTACTGAATCTCTTACTTTTTTTTCCTCAAAGTGTAAGCAGGAGAGGAAATGCTTTTGTCAGAAGTACGTGCAAAGCCTGGTCAAAGAAGCCAGTCTCATTGATCAGAAGAATGAGTCTCTGCAGAAACTCTGGCCACAAATCTTCATTGAGCTCGTACGGGACTGTGTGATCGAAATGCGCAATAAAACGTCATACATGCAGCTCTGCTTGACGAAAATAATGGATCAGAAATGAAGACAGCAACTTCTCCGGTGCATGGACTGCAATTATCTCCCAGCACATGGTACTGAAACCAAAATCACAGCTTTATAAATATCATCTGCTACACTACAAAGGAAACTGTTGTCTCCTGTACGTCACAGAGGCCTTTCTGTCAGACATGTCCTTCATTTCAATTGAAATCACAAACCAGAGGTTTTAATGTAGGATTGTGGGGTTAATTATCAGAGCTGAAGGCTCTCACCTGAGCAGAGAGAAGGAGGAAGCAAGGTAGTTCCCCATTCAGTCTTCCATCTTCTGTACAGCCATTGAGCGCTGTAGCACAGCTCAAGGGATGCTTCAGGTGTGTCAAAAATTAGCATTGGTGCCATGCTGCCCCTGAGCCTTCCTGATGTATGTATCTACCCAGAGAATGTGCAGAATGGCTCAAATATAAGAGGAAAGACACCTAAAGCACTATGTTGGAGTGTTCAAAGTAAGGTTCACTGTTTTCCAACAGATTCACAGTCATTTTCTATCACTAGTCACATGTAAATATATCCTACTTAATACAAAGCACTGTCTTTTAGCACTGTCTTGAGAAAGTCCACACTGAGGTGCATTCCTTGTGTACTTAGGCACATTGGCTGCTCAGAGCTGGGGCAGTGCGGCTCAGCTTCATCTTGTCCATTGAATTACATTGCACTGCTGCGTGGCACCAGTATATTTGACCTCACATACAAATAAAAGAAAGCCAACAGGGAGGTATGCTATATTGTTCTGCTGCTAACAAGAAAATGTTTCACTTTATTATACCTTTAACATTTAATTTTATAAATACCGGGTACATTTTATCACGTTTTTCATTTATTTAATTGCTGTAATTCACTGAAACTTCTGGTTTAAAAGCTGAGCTATTGATGCTTTTTCTTTGCTGAGATTATTTTGCCTCTTCAGTGCTAATTCCAAAGTAAAATGAATAAAGTTTGCTTGAGTTTACACTTCCCATAACTTGCAGCATTGTGTTTCATCTGGATTGATTTGCACTATAGGCCAGTTAAAAAAATACTTCTTAAAACTGATGAAGCAAAGTTCAAGTGGTATTACAATAAAGTGACACCCAGCCTAACACACTCCCCAACCCTTCATATCTGTTATGTTCAGTTTGCTTTCCCACTAAGCTGTCAGGATTGTCTCCTGATTTATGCGCCATGGTTTATGGTTGGTGAGCTCTGAATTTTTCTCAGTTGCTGCAGCAACTATCACAGAATCTAATGAGGCGAGGCAGCATATGGCTTGATTTCCCTCAAGTACATATTAAAATAACCTTCTGCTCTGTAAAATGCAAGGTAGAATCACAGAATGTTACATCTCAGAAACAGGCCATTGAGCCCATAGTGTCAATGCTGGAGTTTTTTTCTGCCCATTAGTCACCTAATCTAATCACTCTCCTGCTCACTTCTCACACCCACAAATGTTCCTCCTCTTCGAGCATCAAATTCGCTATTGAAAGAATTTATGGACTCTGCTTCACCTATGATTTGTGGCAGAGAATTTCATATTCCACCCATCACTCTGTAAAGGCATTTTTTTTCAACCTCCACATTCTGTGATTATCTTAACCGCATGCCTCTTCATTACTGACTTATCAACTAGTGGAAATATTCTATTATATGTATTCTATCATAACCCTTCATGATCTTGAAAATCTCTATCTGGCTTGCCCGGCCCATAGCTCTAATGAAACAGCACTAAATTCCCCGACTTTTCATTGCTCATCCCTGGCAATATTTTAGTGAATGAACCTATGCTGACCTTTCAAATGCCTTTATATCCTTCGTTACAATGGAGTGTCCAAAACTGTACACAATAATGCAACTGTGGAACCAGCGACAGACCTGTAGACGTTTAACATTACCATCTTGTTTCTCATCTCCATGCCTCTACAGTAATAGTAAGCTGGTAATTGTTTTGTTTTGCTACTGAATCCAAGTGGCCATTCTAGTGTATTGCCTTTTGGGTTTATAAACCCTCCAAAAAATAATAATAATAATAATAATGTGGTCATTCAATCCACGATTGTTTGTGGGACACTGCTGTGCACAATTGGCTGCCGCGTTTCGCCCACACAACACACAGTCACTACACTTTACAGTATATCCTGTGAAGCGCTTTGAGACGTCTCGAAGACGTGATAAGCCGCTATATTAAATGCAAGAATTATTATTATTGTTGGGAGACTTCAACAGGCAAAACCTGCTTCTGCTCTCACTCCCTGTCCATACATGCACATTCAGCATGAAGCACTACATAACAATCATTAACTTTGCTTTGCCCCTGAGGCCTCATTGCTGCTCCTGAGATCAGTTCTCTCAGCTCCTGAAGTGACATTTCTATTCTACACAATCTCAGAACACTCAAAATGAGATGACTTTAACTCCAGTAAAAAGGATTTTAGTTCATTGTCTTACATGACAGACTGATGTAAACATGTGCTGGTGTGTCTCATCAGTGAGGAAACCTAAGAAGACTAGCATCTTATTAAAGACACCACCAATGAATCATCCAGCAGACAGGTCTGAGCCGTACAGCAAGATAGGAACGTACTGTTAGGGGAGGCTCAAACACTTCATAACAGATGATGGAACCACACAACACTGCCTGGCCCACGCATGGTATCTTTACACGTTCTGTTGGATCTGTTTTTTTTCAGATGAAGCAAACAATTTGCACCCAGCTCCTGCTGAGTATCATTCCTATTCATGGCATTTGATGCTGTGGTCTGCCAGATAATGCAGATTGTTTCTCCAAGAATATAGAATAAGAATAAAGTGATGGATGGAGTTTAAAATACTGGAAATTGGCTTGAAAGATTTGATGAAAATACTCTTGTTGAGTTTCTTTCCCTGCAACATAAGAGGAGGAACTATAGCAAAATGGTAAAATGAATTTGGCATCAGCTTGAGTCAGTTGGTGGAACTCTCATCTCTAGGTCAGAAGGTTGTGAAAGCACTCCCGGATGCTATCCCGCATGAATGGTGCTATATAAATGCAAGTTGTTGTTGGTTCAATCTGCATGTCAGGACTTTGAGCTTAAAGTCTCGGCGGTTTGTGGTGGGGGTATTGCTGCATTGGTGTGTTGCTGTTGTTTGGATGAGATGTTAAACTGAGTTCCCACCTGCTTGTTCAGGTGGATTTTAAGATCCCAGGTACCATTCCAAAAGAGAAGAAGCTTTCTCCCTGGTCAATAATCATCAGTGTCTATTGATCACTGATTTCATCATTATTTATAATAAACAGACATAAATAAACAAATAAACACGGCAGACGATCCATGGACATAATTGCATGGCACATTGATATGTGCAAACTGGCTGCCATGTTTATTGATAAATATAGACACTAAACTTGCCACCAATTTCCTGTGAAATGTTTGGAGATATCTAAACACTATTCAAATGGAAGGATTATTATATATTTTTTCAATAAAATCTTAAAAAGGAGTGGACGAACAAAGATATTCACAAATGCAACTCTTTAAAAGTAGGAGGGTATGTTTACAAAGTTATACCGTATAAAAAAAAGCAAAGTTATTTGAAAAAGTTAATAAAGTCCTAGATTTTATAAATATTGTCACAGAATACAAAAGGAAGTGATATTCTCCACTCCAGAGTGGACATGTGTAGAGATTCTCCATGATGTAAAATGCTTTCTTTCTCAGCTTGAATTTTAGTCTTAAGCAGAGAAAAGGGGCTAATAATTATGTGACTAAATTTACAGACCGTACAACTGGAGTTGTGGACCCTGCTGTTTCTGTTGCCGAGGCCTGGCGACTGCTCTCTCTCCCTTTGCCAGTGAGATGACACTCTGGGGCTGATTTCAAAAGATTTCTGAAGTTTGAAACCCGCACGCTTTTTGATTTTATTTCAATAAAATATTTGATGTCAAAGCTCTATGTAGATAAAAAAAATGGAAATAAAATAAAAATGGAGATGAGAAACAAGACGGTAATGTTAAAATAGTAATTTTTACAATTACGGCCGTTAATTGTAACAATTAACACCGTGAAATAAAATAGCAAAATAACAAATATTCGGTGGAAACAAACAAACAAACAAACAAACAAATAAATAAACCTCATTTGTTTTAATTTGTTGATAAATCCAATCAATCAGAACTGAACGAAGAAGCGCCTCTTTTCTGCGTTGGGAGCAAAACCTGCTCCAGATGTGCTGCTTTAGCTGCAGTTTCTGTGCTGCATGGAAGAGCCAGTGCTGGGGGCCAGAGGGCAGATGTGAGGCTGTAGATCAGCAGGAGAGGGTGGGAATGGCAGGCTGGAGCCAGCATTCCCAGATTGACAGTGAATCACTTTGTGCTGCCTCAAGGATACAGCTGTATTAGTTACTATGACACTGCAATGCTGTTAATCAGTGTCTGCTCCTCACTTTGTTACTCAGACATGCTGCACTTGGCATCGGTCCAAAACCCATCAACAATCTTTAGCAGCCAAACATTTCGAGTTCCTTTTGCGAGTAACGTTTTAGGTTCGTGGCTGATGTATGGCAGGACAAGCCTCAGGACAGACAGAAAGAGCTCATCAGAGGAGACTACAGAAGTACACGTTGCCTGAGATTCAGGATTTATCGCCATCAAATTTATAGGCTCTCTGTACTGTTTGCCTATTTCACAAGCAAACCTTTTTTTTTTCACACGTTGTGCAACTTAAAACAGAAGGGTTTTGTGAACCATGTGATCTCTGAAACAACACTGAAACCCCAACCTGTCTGTACATTTTACTCAAAACCAATACGTGGGAGAAAAATATCAGAGCAGACTTGATGAGATGAATGTCCCCTTTCTGTGCAGTAGTATTTCTGTGATGGCTGAGGTGTTACACTGAGCTGTTGCTACACTAATGCCTTAGGGAAGCTGTCATGATACTCAATCCAAAGCACAGGTGTGTTCGTGAATTTCTTTATTATCAACTCATTGCCCCCCAATCGACTTACTGTATAACCACAGCAATTTGTTCTAACCTCAGTGTACTCGTTGACTCTTTATTAATTGTTCTTTATTTCTGAAAGGAATATCCTCCAGCCTTTCTTTCATTGGAGACACTGATTTCAGCTGTCACATCAATGCTGCACTCAGCCTCGCCAGAAACTGTTGGAAATTATTTGAAACGAAAGCAGTCAAGGAAGGCAGTACAAGTCACCATGATTTCGAACCCAGAGTGTGGTCAGATCTACAATATTTGAAAGAGGATTTTTTTCCCCCCCTTGTGTGCAGGTCAACAACCCTCCAGATAAATTGGTGATGGACTCCAATGCCTGTTTGTAGGGCAATTGCTGCACTCAAATTGGGAGCGTTGCATCTTATGGTCATTACCAGTGAGAAGGTCCTTAAGGCTTTCCAAGTGACAATCATTCCGACTGCATTCATCACCGGGTTTGCATGAATTCCCAAGCCTTGCCCCTCAACTCCTGTGCTCCACCTTGTACCTCTTGGCTTGTCTCGGGGTCCAGCGATCTGAAGCCTTTCCCCCTGTTATCAAAGGGGCGTTCCAAAAAAAAAAAAAATTGGTGCAAATGAGTGAACGTGTTCACAACCCGGAGGGAGGGCGAGGGATGGGTTTGGGCTGATCGGTGACACGGGGTAAGTGATGCTGGTGCTGGGGCTGGGTGGGTGGGGGATGGACTTGGCTGGGATGGGGGCTGGTGGGCTGGGGTGGGGGCTGGGCTGAGGGCTGGGTGTTGGGGGCTGGGCTGGCTGGGGGCTGGGGGCTAGGGGGCTGGGGACTGGGTTGAGGGCTGGGCTGGCTGGGGCTGGGGGGCTAGGGGGCTGGGGTGGGGCTGGGGCTGGGCTGGTGGGCTAGGGGGCTAGGGGGCTGGGGTGGGGCTGGTGTGCTGGGGCTGGGGGCTAGGGGGCTGGGGGGCTAGGGGGCTGGGGGCTGGGCTAGGGGGCTGGGCTGGTGGGCTGGGGGCTAGGGGGCTGGGGGCTGGGCTGGGGGCTAGGGGGCTGGGGTGGGGGGCTGGGGCTGGGGGCTGGTCCTCTCTAGTGTGTGTGTGTGTGTGTTTGAGCCGGTTGTTCTGTGCTCACAGCCCCCGCCAGAGGGCATCCACCACACCTGAGCCACCCCCCCCCCACTCCCCACCCCCTCCCAAAAAAAAACCCCAGGGCGAAATCCCTCTCTGGTTGCAAAATCGCGTGGCTGCAAAGAGAGAGAGAGAGAGAGAAAAGGAGAAGGAAGGAAGGAAAAGGGGAAGAAAAAAAAACCCAAGGAAGGATCGAGCCGAGGAGGGAAAGGAGACCCTCGGCTCTGCCCCTCTGCCTGTTGCACCGCATGGAGCTGCGGATCCGCTGCGAGAAGCACATCAGGTCAACTCCCCAAAGCGATCCGCAAATCGCTTGGGACAGAAGAGCCGAGGAGTCGGGGCTCTCAGTTGGATGCAGCTGAAAGGGCAGGAGAAAGGCATTCAGTCAGGTAGGTCCCGTACCTCTGGGCGGGGAGGACAGGGCAGGACAGGGCAGGACAGGGCAGGACAGGGGCTGAAAAGTCTGCAAGAATTTACTGTGGGTTAGTTGAAGAGTTTAGACGAGCACTACAAGCACTGCTTCCCATCCTGGTGTCTCCAGTCTGTAAATGCTGCTGTTCCTCTCTGTCTGTCTGTCTCTCTCTCTGACACATGTCACATCTCTTGCCCCTCTGCCTGTCACTTATCTGTGTGTGTGTGTTGGGTGTTTCAGGACAGAGAGACACACACACACACACAGAGAGAGATACAGAGAGAGCTGGCTCTGGTACCCAGCTCCAAGGCACGCAGTACCCAGGCTGGTGCGCTGCTGATTTCTTCTCTCTTGTCATCTCAAGGCTTCTTCATCTCTGTTGTACACGTTGGCTTTCTTTTTTTTTTGCAAAAAAAAGAAACACGACTAAGAGGTTGTACAGATCTGTATCCTGTCCGTGTACAGGTTTCACCCACAAGCTATGCAGTCAGTTCACTTTGCGGTTTGTTTCTGTGAAGTGCTTTGAGACGTCTCAACGATGTGATGCATCAAATGCAAGGATTGTTGTTATTATAATTATTATACAATCACCTGTGGAGGATTGGAGGTGTTGTAATCGGAGGTGGTTAATGTGTAAAGGGGCCACGCTTTAGATAATACTCTTTTGCATTTGTTTGCAAACACACCTTACACCAAGGACAGAAGCAGAAATCCACATGGTATTATCTGTGAGCAAAAATCTGAGACTTCCCTTTGTTAATTATCTTAAAACGCACCGGTGATTTGGCAAGTATTGGTCAATGTTAAGGTACTTTGACCCATCCTGTCATCAGAGCTTTAGCTTGCAGGGTTGAGGACAAGTCTGGTTGATGAGCCACATAAAACTGGTCAATCTTCAATATTATTGTGTAGTTGCCTGGTTTTGCCAGTTTCTCCTCAAAGTTTGTTAGCCCCAGGGAGACCCAGACTTACCTCTCTATAAATTTGATATATAACGGGTATTCAATACAAGATTTGTAAACTTTGTGCAGGATATTAACTTGACTGCGGTTGGAAAATTGCATCCCACTTTGGGAACTGCATTTTGCAAATCTCCTCACCATTCATCATGAAGAGGTGCTGCGGAGATTCAGTAAGATGTTATCAGAAATAGGCTATTGAGTCTGCACTGGTGTTTAGCTCCACATGAGCCACCAAATCTAATTCCACCCTTCTGCTCACTCCCCATATTCTTTCATATACAGTAAACTCCTGATAACTCCACGCTGGCTTAACTTGCCACTATAAGTCATCGTGCCCTCAATATCCACCTGGCCACATTTATTTATATTTATTGTATGCCTAACTTACCACTCAGGATAATTTGTCACTGAGCCCCTTTCCCTTGGAGTGATTAGTTATTAGTTATTAGTTACTGTTATTAGTTATTAATTTACTGTGTCTCTTTTTGAAGCCAAGTCCCTTTGAAAAGAATTGATGAGCTCACTTCAACCATGGCTTGTGGCAGAGAATTCTACATTCCACCCAGCTTCAGTGTGTTTTTCTTTAGCTAACTTCCCCTTTTATTCTTTTTGTGATAATCTTTAACGTTAGTTTATCCGCTTTGTAACTGACGCTGACCATGGAATAACTTACCGCTTACTCTGTCAGAACCATTCAAAATCTTGATCTCGATTAGGTCACCACTTCATTTCCGTTTGAGTGAAAAAAGCCCCACTTGGCAGCTCTGTTGGTGTATTGAATACAGCTGTAGTTTATGGACCAGGTGAAATTTATTGTGTATTTATTTTCAGAAATTGAGTGAGTTGCCCTCCAGCTCCAAAACACAGAGCAGCACCTCTGTTATCCCATCTGGCAAACAGGAATTCAGTTTGTGGCATCATGGAAAATATAATACCAACACTTTGGTAAGTTTCGGTCACTTTACATTTCCATAACTAAGATGTTAAAAATTCCTTGGTGTTTGTACGAATGAATCATATCGTCCTGATTTGCCCTTTCCTTTTGAACATAAATTCAGGTTAAGCACATGGAGAGAGCGGTGCATCAGTGAGTCAGAGAGGATCGGTGCATCTCATAGATTCATCAGATTTTGCAACATAGATCATGCAATAATCCTTCCTTGCATTTGTAGGCAGACAATCAGTAAGACTGGGCCCAATACAGACCTTGTGGATCATCACTCAGTATATCTTCTGAGAAACATCTTGCTATCCCTGCTTTTTGCTTTCTGCCCTCAACCAACACTCTCTGTGCTGCCGCCTTCCCCTTAATTCTATATGATATAATCTTTGCCGTACTCCTCTCACGTGGCACCTTATCAAATGCTTTTGAAAATAAATACCAACTAAATCCACTGCATTTGCCTTATCAGCTGCTCTGCTATTTCTTCAAAGAATTCTTAAGCAAGCATTCATCCTTTTAGAATTCCATGCTGACTGGCCATTATTAGCTTGTGTTTCTTATTGTGTTGCTTAACACTTTCAAACGATATCATAAACTCCCATAGTTTACCAACATTAACTGGCCTATAATTTCCTGATTTATCACGTCTCCTTTTTTTTTCGAAGTGGGGTGTCATATTGGCCACCCTCTAGACCTCTGGCATAATCTTTTCACAGAATTTTAGAAAATTGTACTCAAAGCCTCAGCTATGTTTTCCTTCAGGAAACAGCAGGAGCTGATGATTTATCTATGTTGTTTAGTTTTCTTTGTACTATTTTTCTTTGAATAATAACCTCAATCAATAACCTCTACAGTTCTACACCTACCAATATCCATCTGTGAAAACAGAAGACAAGTGCTTATTGGGTGATTCTTTCATTCCTCACTCTCCATATTTATCTTTTTCATTGCTTAGCAATCCAGCCTCCACCGTGCCTTCCCTTTAAGGCAATGTGTCTATAGAAAGCTTTACTATTGCCCTTTTGTTATTTTACTATTTTTTCTTTCATATTCCTTTTTAGGGTTCTAATCTACATCTTTATGACTTTCTGTTATTCTTTACATGTGTTCTGGAATTTCTTTTTCTGCCCTGTAAATTCTAAATGCAGCTTTTTAGTTTCAAATTTGCTCTAATCTCCATTCCTTTCCTCCTCTGTAATATAAAGAATTATTTGGATTTTGCCCTAAAATACGCAGTTAATCCATATTCTGTGAAGTGCTTGGAGACGTCTCAATGACGTTGATAGGGCACTATATCAAATGCAAGGATTATTATTATCATTATTATTAATATACTTGATTTACAGCCCATCACTTGCCAGGTTATATATTTCTTGTTGCTGATCTTCATTTCCATTTGCAAATTTTTCCTTCTGGAGCCCGTTGATATATTTTGTCACCTGCTTCCCAAATGTTTCCCAGTTGTTTTTAAGTCGTCTCCATTTCCCAGAACCAGTATTGTATCCTTCCTCGTTCCTCAAATGCAGAGGGTTAAGAGGAATAGTTGATAGAGATGTTCAAAATGTAGAGGGGCTTGATAAGGTAAATAGGGAGGAACTGTTTCCAGTGCTTGGTGAGTTGGTATTGAGAGGGCATCAATTTAAGATCATCGCCAAAAATACCAGACATGCTTAATGGGAGTGAGGTCTGTATAAGTGAGGCTAGGTGGTATTTTACACTCACTAACCTTCCAAGCCACACTTTGGGATGAGGCTTCATGAGTTTGCCTATTGTGTTGCAGGTTACGGAGGCTTGGGGTTCTGTTCGGGTGCTGCCTGGTGGTACTTGCTGATCTGAGTTTTCCACACAGGAAGGTGAGGTGCTGAGATTGGGATTGCCGCAGGCTGTCCTCATAAAGAGGCCCGGGCTTGTATTCAACCAGTGAAACTTGGAAGCATCGTAGGAATGTGTTTACAGACTGACTGTTGAATTAAGATACGTTTATTTCTTGGCAACAGTTCCTCCATGTGTGTTAGTGGATTTACATTAACTCTACTGTACTGTACTGCACCGATTATTTACCTCTGCACCATTCTTTTGCAATGATGACTACTGAGGTTTTGTAGCTGAATGTGTGAGGAGAAGGTGCTGGGTGTTATTATCTAAAGTCCCAAACCAGAAAAATGTCACTTTTCATTTACATTTTTAAACATTTGATCCAAGTTTGAAAAGCAGCCAATTGCCCACAGCCGTGTCTCACAAACAGTCGGTTCATTTTACAATATATCCTGTGAAGTGCTTTGAGATGTTTCAACAATGTTATAAGGCACTATATCAAATGCAACTATTTTTATTATGAACCCATCCCCTGCCAATGTATTCATGCAATTATTTTTAGGGAACATAAACTGAAACGGTCTCTATGATAGGAATTGCCATTTGAAGGAGAGGGCCATGGGGTATAATCCATGTAATAAATTCAGGGCAGAAAACCAACTACTGAGATTCAGTACAATGTTACCTCCTTCTGTCTACTTTCCCTTCTAGACGCAGCAGATGACACTGCAGCAGACTACAGTCCCAGAGGAGTTGGGCGCTAAAATCAATGGCATGTGGGGAAGCTGGGGACCATGGTCAGCCTGCTCACGCACATGTGGAATTGGAATAATGGAACAAAAGAGACCCTGTCTCTCAGCGACTTCCTCTTACTACAGCGAGAGCTCATATCCCAGTACAGGACACCATTTTTCATCCTTTCACAGGCACTCTCGACCCTACCTGAGCCATCAAGAGGAAAGTGTAAATCTGCGCCCGGGCCACATTGTATCAGCCTTTCGACCTTCCATTCCTCTGCACAGGAGTGAGGATCAGCTGAGAGCAAGGCTGCAGCAGTCAGCTTCGCAAAGCAGGAATGGGAGCCAGCATCGTCCTGGAGGTTTGAGAGAGAGCAGACATTCAGTGACACAAGAACAGAATCCTAAACCAGAGAGGAGGTTAGTGCATGTAATTGATGTGTGTGTGTCTCATATTAAAAGTATTCATTCATCCACGATCACAGACACTTGGACACAAAAATTAGGTGTCACGAGGACCTAATAATTTACCCTTAATAATAATTTGGTCACTCAATCCACGACTATTTGCGGGACACTGCTGTGCAAAATTGGCTGCTGTGTTTTGCTCACAAAATATACAGTCAATTCACTTTACAATATATTCTGTGAATCGTTTTGACATGTCTCAACGATGTGATAAAGCACTATATCAAATGCAAGGATTATTGTTATTATTGTTATTAATATACCCAAAGAGTTTTCATTTGCCGAGATGAATGCTATTGCTACATTTAGTGCTATTTCCATTTTTCTGACAAATTAAGATTTCAGTTGAGAAACTAAGTGAATTTGTTCTTCAGTTGCTTGAGAGGTGGATTTAATTGTAAGGACTACATACATGCGGTCACAATACCAACAGGGTGAAGACATTATTTAATGTGCTCAATATTCTAAAAGGCTTTTTGATTATGAATGAAATTGTATCTGTGGATTGACTGACTAAATATAACACAAAAAAATGCAAACTCTGGGGCCAGACTAGAGCTGTCTGGAATCAAATTCTTAATAGTCTACATGTAGTGATGAGAAAAGGGATGTAAATTGTGGCATGAAAGCAGCATTAAATCAGTGGCACTTGGAATATTTTTTTATACGCAGCATGATTCATTGGTTTAGAATGCTGTGTTAACATTGTGAACCAATGTATTAATTTGGTGACAGCCTGGTCATCCATTACATTGCCTTGAATGATTGCAGTCCTACCTCTCTTGACTTCTCAAAGCCAGAAAGACTCTGATGCTAAATTGGGTGAATATGGCAAATAGTGAGAAATATTGGATAAAACGTTAGGAAGAAATTGATAGTCTCAAGATTGTTAATAAAAGAATGAGGCCAGAGTTTGAAGGAATGTGTTCATTCAGGAGGCTATTAGTGTTTGTAGTTCTTTATCCAATAACAACTTCTCTTGGTCACAGTTAAATGTTTCAGATTACTTCACAGGGACAGATTGGGAGTCTGAGCAGGATAGGAGATTAGGGATTAGAAGGGAAAGACCATAGGCTTGGTGGTTTTTAGAAGGGGAGAGGATGGGTGCAAAGCAGAGAATTTAGGGATTGGGCAAGGTGGCTGAAGGCTCATCCAATGCGATGTACCAGATTTCCATTCCCTCCATCATAACCAACTAATCAAACTGAACTCAACCAGACTCCCACTGGCTTCTGCATTTCTTTAATTCATAAAACATTTGGGTCTTAATGCGTTTGCCAGCTCTTGCATTCATTCAGAGTGTGACTTTATAGCGCACCAATAGCTTTTTAACACGTGTGTATAAACTCAGAGCTTTTCTTTAACTTTGCTAGGTCAAGACTAAGAGCTCGATTGTACCTGGGAGATATGGATATGGAACGGTGCCTTACATATACTCACTACAAACTGACACGGGACAGGTGTCAGTGCGAGCAAGACGGCAGAGGCCCATGGCAAGGTCCCAGGAGCATTCACGGCTTCGGAACAGTCACAGTAACAGTCGCATCCGACCCAACTCTGGTTCCACTCAACATCCCAATTTCTATCAAGATGACCGCCAGTCTCACGCTAACCATCAGTCTTCAATGTACCGGAACTCTCCCCATCCAGGCAGCAGTGACTCAGCTCAACGATGGAGCCCTTCGGCTAACTCCTACAGCCATTCCAGCTCAGCCCAATCAGCCCAAGCAAACCTCCATCTGCCTGCTACAAAGACCGTGACCTGCATGGGTGACCCAAAGCAGCATCGACTGTGCAACAAGGATGTGAGTACAGTACTCTAACTCCAGTTAATTAATTGTGGCTGGAAATTCTGGTCTCACAACTGGATGAGAATGATTGAACTGGTTTGAACAGATGTGGTTTGGAATCTGGATTTGGTTTCAGCAATATACAGCCCTGTGTTGACCAGCTTGTCAGAATTGTCTAAAATTTTCAATCTAAAATTAAACGTGGTGCAAATTATTACACATCTGAAGAAATTGTGTTCATACAGTGATCTGAACCCTGAGGAATATCATGTCGCCTAGGTAACAATTATGTATTATAATTATTGTTTATTATAAATAGGCATTATACAATCATTGTCACCCAGGTCTTGCATGTGTGTGGCACAGGAGTTCAGTGCTTGCATGACCAAAGGTTGAGCAGATGAAGCCTGCGCTATGATCAGCCATGATCTAATAGAATGGTGGAACAGGCTCGAGGGGCTGAATGGCCTATTCCTATGTTTCTATGGTTTGTTATGGATTGGGTGGCCAGGGGCAGCAGTGAATTTGAGTCCGTGCTTTCTTATCTTCACATATAACTCTGCACAAAACAGACTTCTGCAGAACTAAAGGCAAAATTACTGCAGATGCTGGAAATCTGAGATAAAAACAGAAGTCGCTGGGAACACACAGCAGGTCAGGCAGCATCTATGGAGAAAGGAAAGTAAATTAACGTTTCAGGTGGATGACCTTTTGTCAGAACTTCAGAACTAACCTGTGACCTTTTGTTTGTGTCCCAGCAGCCGTGCCCCCAGCCTGGAGTTGACATGCGTCAAGCACAGTGCACCTCCTACAACAACAAAGCTTTCATGGGCAGGTTCTACCAGTGGGAGCCGTTCACGGATGGTAATGAAATTAAGTTCATAATGAGGGATAGATACACATGTACGTGTACATACACACAATACAATAGAACAAAATGCAAATATACATTTATATAGAAGCTTTCATGTCGGGAGGACGCCACAAAGTGCCTAACAGTACGGGCTGAGCGCTCAAGGGGGGTGGGGTGGTTGAGCTGAGCTAAAGGAAAGAAGACCAAAATTGCCATTAAAGATTTAGATCTTGAGATGGGCTTGAACGAGGTGACTCAGCAGTTTGCGGAGCGGGATTGCAGAGGATTGTCAGCAGGTTTAGTTTCTGATATTACATACTCCACTCCAGATGCCACTTTGTTTTTTAAGCAGCTCCACCACACCCAAAACAATTTTCTCTCTCGAGCCTGTGCCTTATTGCGATCTGTATAGACTTCGGGTTAGGTGGGGTTGCAGCCTCTGTGATGCCCATATTACAGCCATCCTCTTTGTGTGTGGATGGGGGGGAGGGGGGGGTCGTTGAGTTTATTGCATGATGATGAGAAATGTAACACTGTGCTGTTAGCTGCGTTTCATGATGAAGGAAGCTGCATTTGGAGTTGTGATTAATATTACGCTCCCTCTCCCTGCTTTCTCTCAGTCAGGAGACACCAGGAGTGTGAGTTAAACTGCCGAGCCGTGGGCTTCCGTTTCTATGTGCGACAGGCAGAGCAAGTGATTGACGGGACACCGTGTCACTATAACGCAACATCTCTCTGTGTCGCAGGACTGTGCAAGGTGAGCGGGCATAGAAAAGAAGGTAACAAGTTCATAAGAGGTTTACAAGAAAGCCCGTCAGCCCAATTGATCTTGTTTTTCCTGAATACCCACTTCCCACATTAGGAGCACTCACACACAAACATGCCTTAGTGTAATGCGTATACACTTACACACAGCTAAGTGCAACACATCACACACGTGCTGCTTCAGTGTGACAAACACATGCACCCACAAAGAAGTCTCGGTAGCACACGTAAACAAAGCTCAGTGTAAATGACGCACATGCACACGTACACACAAGCACATACACAGCTCTGTAGCACACACACGCGCAGTCAATATAAATACACACACGCTGCTCCCTACACACACACTCTGCTCAGTGTAGTATATTGTTGAGAGGTTGTTTGGTTGCTGCATATGGTACAGCAGCTCCCTCCAGTGCTCATTCTCTGAATGTTCTTTGGTGCAGCAGTACTCGCTCGGTGTGTGGACCGTTTCAGATTTTATAACCTACGGTTTACATTGCAGTCATTCTCTCCGAAGTGAAAGATCGGAGTCAGGATTAGATGTGGTGTGTGCAGTGTGGTTTGATGTGTTGGTGCACATGATGTTGGATCTCTCTGGTCAGTAACACTCCTCTGCAGCTCCACCAGTTTGCTGAGCTCACTTCTTGTTGGGCCAACAAAGCTTAACATCTGGAAATTCCTGCTCTCCGGAGAAGCAGCTGCTGTAGTGAGGAGGCACAGACGCCGGAAATTCCACCTGTCTGAGCCGGTAGGACCAGGTTGTCTTAAAATTTAAGAGCTGGCAGAATTATGGTCAATTCTTAAGTTCCATCTTAATTTGGAATCCATTGTTTAAGAGAGTCGGGAAAAAAAAACAGCTTCTAAATTAAGACTGAATTGAAGAATTGTCCACGAATCTATAGATCTTAAATTTTAAGACGAAATGTTCTTACAGGCAATGACTGAGTGTGGCATTATGGACTTAAGTTGTGTGAGGGGCAACATTTTCACTAGATTGTAGGTATATGGAGTAGATTGTAGGAGTGTGGTGCAGACCACAGATATGGGGTGTAGACTGCTGGTGCAGAGTATTTATTTGGGGGTGGAGTGTTAACCATGACTAACACATGCAGAAATCCATCACCATGCTTAAGAGTATCGAAAGCAAACTGAGAATTCCATACGTCCCACCTTCACATGGAAATCCCAGAGGTAGATTGTTGGAATGGAATACACACTCTCTCTCTCTCTCTCTCTCTCTGGAAACCTGCTTACTAATTCCAGAAAGTATGAGGCACTGTCTAGCAAGAGCCAAGGCTTGGGGACCCCAGAGTATGCGTTGGGGCACTGCTGGAGTCTAACCAGCTGGATTGTAGACTGCAGGTGTGGAAAACGCCAAATAAATTTGTGCCAGAAACTACGTCCTATAGATTAGAGCATGGAAGAAAATCATTCCGAACATTGAGTGTAACTGTTGTCCCCCCTCCCCCGCCCACTGAACCCCTCTACTATAATTCTAATTTGCTGCTCTTTTGTAGTCATCCTTTTCACATGTTTATTCACGGCTCAGCGAGTGTAATACTGGAGAATTTTGATGTTGGATGTACTGTGTGTATCCACACTGTGGCAGTCTACATCTCCTAATATACCGTCCTCACTGTGAGATGCTCAGTGTTGGGTACTCAGTACTCATTCCTTCTCATGTGCCTGCCAGTTTTAATCAGTTAATCACTGAATGATAATTCCTTGTCAGATGAACGTTAGACATGAACGATTTGAGGCACAAATATTTTCATTGTCTTAAAATGCAAGATCGTAGAGAATTTGAGGAGAAAATAAATCCCATTTTCATTCAAAAATGGATTCCATTCAAAAAGGTTTTCTACAGTATTATGTAGTACGAGAGACACGGTGAAGTACTGAAACTGTGGGGTATTGATACTGCTAACTTGGTGTTATCTGCAAATTTAACGATCTTGAACTGAGTCTGCAAATCCAGGTTATTAATGTATGGAAGGAACAGAAGGGAACACACACCACTGAACCCTGAGATATCCCACTCAATGATACCTCTCCCACTATTTTGACTCACTTCCGCTAACAACTACCCTCTGCTTTCTTTCCTCAAGCTAGTCACTTTCATGTCACACCCTTGCGATCTGGTAACTTGGTTTATGAAGGAGTCTCTCATGTGGTACTTTGTTAAAGACGTTTTGGAAGTTTAAGTACATATCATGTGGCTTCCTGCAGTCTAACTATGTGTGCTCTGTAATTGTCACTACATTGTAATTGTTCCAGCATTCTATAATTGTTACTACACTCTGGCTGCACTCTGTAATTGTTACTACACCTTGGATGTACACTCTAATTGTTACTGTACTCTTAATTCTCAATGAAAATCTAATGTGGTATCTAGGGAGTCATTGCCAATGGCAGGGTAAAATGCTTTACTTGTGGAGTCTCTTAAAGAAAGGTTGTGCTTATTCTTGTTCATTAAATTTTGTAAATGGTGGTTTATGGCACATTTACCAGCAGAAATTCTTGGCTGGTTTTACTGTTTCTTTTGTTGAAAACAGTTTGAGTGTGGAGATTGACAGACGTGCTGCTGTGCCTGCAAGGTGATAGACCGAGAAAGGGATGTTATCTGGGCATACACATCCGCTGATGATTGACAGTTGATTAATGGGGAAAATCTGGGCTGGATTGGTGCATTGTGCCAAGAACCCAGTGCAAGAACACAGCCCTTTTTAAATGTGCCAAATTCTAAAAAAATTCTAAAAGTCTGCCTTTCAATGGGCTTTTAGAGTAGAGTATTGTTTAACCAAGAAAAGAGGTAAAACATAGTGTTGCACGAACCATGTTTGTTGGAGTCATTGCTGCAGAAGAATTTCATTAATCTCTAATAAGCTGCGGTGTTATCCCAGGAAAGGCATTAAACCCTAGGAAGCTGTGGTAGTGAAACTGGAATCTCTTCTACTGTGCCTTTGGTCAATATCTCTAAATCTCTCATTTCCCTGCTCAGCGTCCTCCACTACAGGGCTAACATTCCTCCGAGGTCGAGATTTACTCTGTTAACTAGTATTTCCCAGTGCATGAAAGTTGGGATATTCTTAAATATAGCTTGTGGCATTTTAAAGCCAGTTTTCGGTAAAACTTTCTGTCTCCCAACGCGAAAGGCACTGTATAAAGGTAGATTTGTTTTGTATTTTGAGAATCACAGAAAACCAGCTTCAAATTCAACAATTTGCCATATTGAAATGAAACTTTAGGTTACCAGAGTAAATCTAGACCCAAGTCCAATTTTACCCCATATGTTTGTTAAGTGCTTGGAGACATTCCTTTGTGCGAGGCAAGTGAATTGGATTGCAAATTGAGCAGTTCCTGGTGATAGCAGACAGACTTGCTGCCTCTTTTAATCCCACTCAATCCTATTCATCATCAGTAGCATTAAAATCAGTTTTGTGAGACTGCATTGCTGTGGTCTGTGCAACATGTGACATCCATCCTGGAAAGTTCACTAAGTGCTAGATATTTAGAAAGCATTTCTGAATTCTTTCAGTTGTGGCTGCTGTGCTTCGGGCAGGGAGAGCAGCTCATCTGGAGAGATGTTAATTGATAGTTTTGAAATTCATTCACAGAAAGCACAATATCAATTGAGGGTTTAATTTGTGTTCTCAGCATTAACAACAGTTTGCTGAGAGTCACTTGTGGCTCTTAATTGTAAATCCCATTTCCATTTTAATGTCTGAGCCACAGAACAATGCGCAGCAGTTTGTTGCAATGCAATCACTGTGTATTGATCCTTTATGTATTATGTCAGGTTCTCTCCCAATGCCAAGTCTAAAGCCTTGAAATAATGCAAACACATCTCATCATAGGTGAAGCAGAAATAGAATGAACCGAAATTTAAAACACTGTCGCTCGGAACAGCTGGCAAACATGTGGCAGATTCTGAGCATTCTTCTCTCTCCCACTTGTTCCTGTTCAGGACTTTGTTATTCAGCCTCTTTAACCCCTTGGGTGCTGGATTTTCTCTGCGTCTTTCAAAACATGTAAATGTCTCTTGGTAGCTATTTGTGGCACAGACACCAAATTACACACCAAATGTTGACCTGTTTTCTCTGGTTTGGGCAGTTTTCAATCCCCTCATTCCAATGACTGAAACCCTGGTCTTGTTAAATAAAAGCTTTCATTCCCACTGTATAAAAGGTCAAAACGTGAAAGCTACTTAATAAATTGTGCACAAACACTGCACAGTATTGAGAATAGTTCAGCTGCTTATAAATTGAGCTCTGCACCTTGTTTGGCAACATAGCCGATTCCAGATGTGTTGTGCTCTCTGACTAATGCTGTCTACACTGTGCAGCCATGAATTGAATGCAGTATTTCTGAGTGTCGCACAGTGTTAGCCTGCAGCAGCACAGCCCCAGGCAGAGCCTCAGCCCCAGCCTGAGCCAATGCCGGGAAGGAGCCAAAAAGAGCTTCATAATGCAGGGAGTTGCCACGGTGCTTCCTGTGCTCACACAGCAGTTTGTGGAGGTGGGAATATCCCAACGACGGAAAAAGTAACATTGCCAGCTGCACAAACTTCATCCAGAATATGCTGGGGCAACTAATCAAGTTGTTCTGGGATAAGAAAGTGTAGTACACGCTTTTGAAAGTAAGCTCTTAGTCCTGTTCCCACCCACGTTGTTTTAGTAGGTGTGAGGCTGAATTAGTGACAGTCCGTGCAGTGACTGCGGGTACAAGAGACGGCTGATTTTATAATAATAATCCTTACATTTGATATACTACCTGTAACGTGGAGAGCTGCATATTTTCTGTATATTGTAGTGACTGCGTATTTGTAGGCAAACGACAGATGCCAATTTGTGCACAGCAATGTCCCACAAGCAGCCATTAATTGAATGACCCATTTTAACAAGAGGATTGTTGGCCTGGAGACTGGAAGAAACTCGCTTTTTTTTGCATAGCTCCACAAGATCTTTAACGTCCACCTGAACAGGCAGA